ACAATATCCATCAAGAGTAGAAGGGATAAATTGTGGTATATTTCTAAAATGGAACGCTACATAAAAATGAATGAACTACAGGTATATGGAATAACACGAATGCACGCTTAAAAAGGCACACGCACACAAAATACACTGTCTGATTCCATTCTTATAACATTAAAAAATGGGCAAAATTAAATGACCGTGCATTATTCACGAAAGCCAAAAGATGGAAAGTGTCCATTAACAGATAAATGGATATACAAAATGCAGTGTATCCACACAATGGGATATTATTCTGCCATACAAAGGAATGAAGTTCTGAGACATGCTACATGAATCTTGAAAACATGCTAAGTGAAATAAGCAGGACACAGAAGTACCTACATAGATTCAAGGTACTTACATGAGATTCCTAGAAGAGGCAAGTTCACACGGACAGAAAGTGGATTGTAGGTTACCAGGAGCTGGGGGAGGAGAGAATGGGGGAGTTATCGCTTAATGGTTATGGATTTCCGTTTGGGTGATGGAAAAGTTTAGAAATAGATAAGATGGCTGCACAAAGTTATGAATGTAATGATGCCCTCTGAATTCAATTCCTAGCTGTATACCCAGTAGAAATGTATGCAATATGGACTATGTACTTAAAAATGGTTAAAATAGCAAATTTGTTATACATATATTTTACCACAATCTTAAAAAATTAATAATGTAATATACCAAAAACCACTGAACTGTATACTTTAAGTGGGTGAATTGTATGGTTATGTGAATTACATCTCAATTAAGCTTTTTAAAAAATCTAAATGATTGTTCTGGGGATTCGTTTTTAGGTGGCAAAGCTATAAAGAAAAAGCGAGTAAGTGATTACTATAAATACCAGGAGAGCAGGATGGTGCTACTTTACCAGGGTTGGGGGAGTCTGTGACCAGAAGGTGGCCTTGTGGGGGGCATCTGGGGTGCTGGCAATGTCCTTCCCTTGACCTGGGTGGTTGATGCAGGGAGCTTCACTTTATAATAATCTATTGAACTATACGTTTAGGTTTAGCACACTTTTTAAATGTGTTATTTTTCACAATGTTTTTAAATTTAAAATTCAGCAAGAAAAAAGTATTGGGGGTTAGAGGAGGGCGACTTATTCAGTAGACGAGACGCATCTGCCACAGGGGAACACAGCTTGCTCATCTGAGTTCCATTCGGGGAGAGCAGCTGTCAAAGCCACAGACGCACAGAAGAATGTGGTGAACTTGAGGGACTGAAAGGTGACAGCCCAGTTCCACCAAGGCTTGGAAATCAAGACTGAAGAGGTGTGCATGACAAAGTCAGAGGGCTGGGCAGAGGCCAGAGGGTGGTCGGCCAGGCAGCCATCTGGGTGTTTTAGACACTGTCTTAAGGGAACGGTGCGACGTCATTGAGGGGTTTTAAAGTAGTGAAGTGGCCTGATTGAATCAGCAGCTCTTTCTGCCGGGAACACCGGGACCAGATCGAACACGGCGGGAGTAGGAAGGAGCCAGGAGACCGGTTACGAACCGGTTTCAATGATCATGAAGGCTGGTGGAGGCTTGGCCCAGGGTGGAGGGAGCGGAGAGGCGAGGAACACGGCGTCCTTGTGTCCCATGTGTATTGAACAATTGTTTGTGTCTACACACAGCAGATTCTTTTATGTAGTTAAAAATACTTTGTTATACTGTTTCCTCTATTATGTACCTTACTCTATACAGTACACACTTGTACACGTTTGTACATGCATTTCGTGAACAGAGCTGTGCACACCAAACCACAACTACTGTACTTTATGAGTGATTTATTTCCGAAGGTTATACTGACTGTGACTTTTTTGCCTTACGTACTTACTTTAGAACCTCACTTCGAGGTAAGGAGCAGGTCTATTGTTGATGGACTTATATTTAGATTTGGTGAGTGACTAGAATGGAAGAGGGGAAGGAGAAAGGATGATTTCCTCACGTCTCTTGCCTAAAAAACTGAGATGGTGGTCCTATTATTTGATATGGGGCCCACCAGGGGAGGAACAGTTGGACGGCAGAGATGATAAGCTCATTTTTCTTAACGTTTTATGAAAATTTTCAAAAATGTAGAAAGGCTGACAGACTGTATAGCGAACACTCATATATCCACCTAAATCCTTCAACTCACTTATTACTATAGTTTCTTCCTCACCTCTTCCCACGTACCCAGAGTTCATTTTTGAACAAAGTGAATTTGTGGTATCTACAGGACTTCCAAGTGTTCTCAGAGGCCACTAGTCCACTGTAGAGAAGTACATTTAATGAGCAGGTGACACAATGCTGCCTCTCCTTCTGTGCCTCCCATTCACACTCACTTGCCTAGAATCTGGCTTTGGCATCTTGCTTCGGAAGGTGGTTTCACTAGGACACCAACTCCTGAGGACGCTAACAATGAACTTACTATCTTCCTCCTGTGAAACTGCTCCTCTTCCTGTGTATCTTACACTACAGTTACCCAAACCTGGAACTTGGGAGTCATCCCCGACATCTGCAGCAAACAGGGTGTGTCAATCCTATCTCCTAAATATCTTTAAAAGACGCCCCTCCCTCTTCATCCCTGTACTGCTAACGAAGTGCTAGATCTCAGAGTTCCTAACAGGTTAGTGATACAGTTTCCACCTGGGAACCGGTCCCTGTCTCCACCCTCTCTCCAGCTCATCTATTCCTATCCACCTGTCTATCTAATTTACTTTAAAACTCTGTTCACATCACTTTTCTTTCTCAGTTCTTCACAGGTGCTTACTCCCAGGTGGCATGACTTCTATAGTTCTTCAAGATCTTCCAGAAAGCATGAGTAAGCCTAAATCTGTAACCTCTGCCTAGCTACTCCCCCACACCATTTTTAACTACTTAGTGGCTCTTCAAATATGCCAACCACACTTTCTGCTTCACGGCCTTCTCTGAGAAGACCTCCCTGAAAGCCAGGTTTGGTATCTCCCACCAGATAATAGGTCTGTCATTAGATATTCAAGTCTCCACGTAGCTAAAAATCCTTCAGGAGGTGTTTCCGTCTTCTTTATAGCCAGAATGCTTAGCACTCTTCCTAACACAAAACGGACACTCTAGTCTACTTTAGCTGAACTTTACATACAACCAGGGCTTTGTAAATCTCCCTTTTCCTTCCAGGAAAATCCTACTCAAGCTTGAATTCCTCCATGAAGCTGTCCCAGGCCCCTCCAAGTAATTTGGGGCTCTGACTCCCTTTATCCACCGCCCTTAACTTAATAAATTATATTTTAATAGCTTATCTATACAACTAACTTCAGTAAACGTTGACACTTTCACCTTTTGTTGGTAACTAACAGCAATCCTGCTCATGCTTCCCGGCTCTATCCAAAGCCACTTGCTCCTCTGACTCGTTCGCAGACACCCACAGAGAGAGGTCAGCTCACGATGCTGATATTCTTTCGTCACGGCTGCGTGCCCCTGCGTCCCCGGCTCCCCTCCTCTCCTCCCCGGAAGCCTGGGACGGTGGTCCTACCCGTCTCGAACTTTCCCTGCAGTACTTGAAGCTGCGCTTTATAATGTGGCCTATCTCCGGGAAGCTCCAGGAGGGACAGAACCCTTCGGAGACGTCCTCTTCTGCGGACCCGACGGGCGTCCGTCCACCAGCCCCGGCTCCGCCCCTTTTGGGAGCTCTTCGCGACCCGAGCACCGAAGACGGACGAGCGGGTGGGCGGGGCAAAGAGCCGGCCCCGCCTTCCCCCGCCCAGTCTCTGGGTCCTAGCGTCCGTCGGAGCGACGCCGGACGTCCGCGCAGGCGCAGGGACGCACTTGGCGCGCACGACGCACGCGCGAGGCTGAGCTCGCCCGGGCTCGGGGGCCGGGGCTTCAGGCGCAAGGGCGGGACCCAGCGGAGCTCTCGCCCGCTTACTGGTCCTCGTGCTGACGGACTGGAGAAGGAACCGCTAAGACGCTGCCTGTTCAGAAACAGCTTTCGGGGCAAAATACCAATGAATAAATAAAAGAGGGTGGAGGAGGAGAGAGGGGAGCGGTGGTGCTGTCTTGGGCCCCTTGGAGCTCAGCTTGTCCCTGGCTGGAGCAGGACGGTGGGCCTTGGTTCACCCTGTTCTGCCCTAACCGGGACCGGGGAAGTCCCTCTCTCTGGACTGTTGCCCTGGCAGCGGAGTCACAGGTGACTCGTCCCCACGAGACCGGAGTCTTCATTCCGGTTCTTTCAGCTCTGGTTTCCTGGGGGGGCGGGGGGCAGCCTCGAAGGCCTGGAGAGCTCCGCTACCCTGTGGTCCAGCTCAGATCTGGCGGCTACAGCCCCCTCCCCTCGGCATTGGCGCGACGCTCTCCGAGCTGGCCTCCCGGGTTCCAGCCTGGCTGGCTGCCGACTAGACTTTGTAGAAGGCAAATCTGAACACATCCTCTTCCTGAAACCGCTGGTGCCCTTGCAGGCGGAGGCGCCAAGATCCACTTTAAAACCTGCTGACCGGGCATTCGTGATGAGCTCCCGCTTATCTTTCCAGCCCCATCTGGGAGGTACAAACACCACCAAAGAGTCAGGCCCTTTCAGCCTTCGTGCTTCTACAAGAGCTGTCCCGCCTTCCCTGGCCGTACCTCTCCCCCTGCGCCCTCTCCTTCTCTCCCAGGGAAGATCCGACCTCACCTGGGGCCTTATCCAGGGCACCCTGCCCTACTCCCACCTCCGGGCCCTGAGCTTATGGGCGCGCTGGAAGCCCTGTACCACGCCACTCCTCACACCTGCTTGGCTCCTGGAATGCAAGCGACCTCATGGAAGGGACTGTGTATCCCTGTCAAGCACAGTGGACATCCATAGTTCAATAGATGGATGATGAATGAATCAACGCATGGTCTCTAAGGATCAAAAGTGAAGATTAAAATATATCAGGCAGGGAGGGCTGTGGCATTTGGAGGGCTCACCAAAGCCATGAACCATATCTTTTTCGTCTCTGAATTCTGATAGGTAGCTAACAAGGTGACATTCCTTTTTAACTATGTGAATAAATTCAAGATGACAAATAGTGAAGTTAAGCCATTTAGTTATGGTTCCATCACAGCCTGTGGAACATTTCTGCTCAGTCAGTGGGTGCAGGGCAGTGGGCCTCAGGGGCCGCTCGCTGAAGAAAATCCCAGCAGGTTTAGGAGGGCGTGTTTGCATTGTAAGATGTTACAGAAAACGAGCATGCCAAATCCCAGAGGTGTTTACTGTCATGAATGTTCCAGGAGGGTGGGGTGGGGTGGGGTTCCCCCAATCCGATCCTCCAAGGCTCTGGGGTGACTCACTCTTCCTTGGACTCAGGGGTGGGGCTGGTATTTGTTCCCCGAGTTGGCTTCTGCTCCCCCTGGTCTTTGGTTTCCCCAAAGTCTCCAGCCACTAGAGCCACATTCCTCAGATAATTATTGTTGAAGCAGTTGGTCTGTTCATCCCCAAGATTCAATTTACAGCAGAAGGCAGAGTCCCGCCAGAAGTTACGTCGGGGACCACAGAGGTCATCGATGAAGGCTGCTTTCTGATGGATGAGAAGAGTAAAGCAGCGATGGGGGAGGGGGCTGTCAGAGGTCAGGCCTGGATACTTGGGTGCCCAAAGTACCCCTTCCCTGGGCTTCTACTGCTCTCTGCCTGGATCCTTTCTCGGGACCCAGAGAGACTGCACGGCTGCCTTGCACAACTAGATTTCCTGTGACGGACAGATGTGCACATCCAGAAATGCCCAAAGCCTGAGACCCAGCGAAGGCATCGTAGCAACTTAGTGGTGGGGAACAGGTCAGGTCAGGAATGAGGCCTTCTGGATCCAAGGAAAAAGACTCCTCCACTATCCTCACTATTTCTGTGGGCTGGTTTGAGGTACTAAAGGAAGGGGAAGGCGTGGCCTGTGGTTCCAGCTGCCTCCCTCCCTCCCCCGCATTCCTGTGGAGACTATGACTCCCCATGCCCACGCTCACCTCTTCCTCGGCACAGCAGGCCTGCTCTGGGGCTGGCAGGTCACAGCAGCGGGAAGTGATGTTGCGGATAAGCCCAGGGATATGTTTACTGTATTGGTGGGAAAGAGGTAGGGTCAGGTCCTAAGGGAGAACCCCCAGGCAATAGAAATAGTGCTTGGAGACCAAGATTTTGCTCTTCCCAAGAGAGCCCCTGAGGGGAGGTTCCAGGAAGGGAGGAGTTAGGGAAAAGGTGGGCAAGACTCACTGTTTGGTGATAACTCTTTGGTTTCCACAGAGATAGCCCATGATGTTGGGGGTGACTCGGCTGAGGTCAATGGTCAAGATGTCCCGGTCATAGTTGGGGAAGGGAGCCCGCCGGGCAAAGCAGTCATCGCGGGCAGGGCTGGGCGGGTGGTGGCAACATGAGTGGTGATGGGTCTTGATGGCCTGCTCCTGGTCACAGTACCTGTCGAGGGTTTCCTCCCACTGTGGGCCAACGAGAGGGAGTCAGACGCCTGGACACCTGGCCCCTCCACCTACCCCTCTGCTTCCCTTGTCGTCCCACGCTGTGAGGTGAGGGACTGCCAGCCCCAGATGCCAAAAGGGAAGGGCAGAGAACTGCGGGGAGAGGAGGCAGCTGGGTGTGTGGGCTTGGGAAGGCGACAGGTAGAAGCACAGGTGAAGTTCGGAGCCGGCCATGGGATATGAGCTGGAATGGTAGACGGAGGGGGTCAGGTGAGGTCAGAGCTCGACGAACGGACGGCAGACAGGTGCCCATGCGGGAGCGTGGGCGGACGAGGCTAGGGGTGCAGGATGAAGGCTGGAGACGAACAGGCTCTGATGACGAACACAACGCATGGACGGACATTCACAGGTAGACGGATGGCTAGACGTGCTCACAGCGGGAAGGTGCGTGGAGGAGCGGACGGCGGGTTCGGAAGTCAGAGGTGGATGGGCAGACGGGCTTTTGGGGGGCCGAGACGCCCACTTACAGCCTTCCAGGCACAGGTGTGGTTGCTCCCCAGCCGGCAGCAGCGCTGGAGCTCCCCCTCCAGCCGGGTCAGAGCCTGCAGCTGCCTTTGGATGGGGTCAGTAGCCGGGAGGTTGCGGGGCACTGAGCGGAAGCGTCTCAGGTGGCAGATGTTCTTGATATTGTCCAGTGTGGGCTCCCCGGGGGGGAAGGGCAGCTCGGGGCCCGAGGAGACCACAGGCGGGGGGCCTGAGCAGGCCCGGGGCTTGTAGTGTGGCCGGGGAGCTTCCTCCTGGAAGCAGGACAACCGAGCCTCCCCCTGCCGTTTGCAGCACCAGTGGGGTCGGGTCTTAACCGAGAACTCGGCCTCACAGAACTGGGTCATTGCATCTTCCCACTAGAGCAAGAGGGGTGGGTCAGCCCAGCGGCCACTGTGCACCTTCCTGTCCTCCTCCCAGGCTCCAGAAAAGGACCCCGGGCAGGTAGATGAGGAAGCAGCAGCGGCTGGCCCTGCTCTCTGGCACACTGGGGAGGCCCAAGAGAGGGCCACCGAGAGGGACCTGTGGTTTCCACACACCCAGGCCCAGGCCCCCAGCCCTTAAAATGCACACATCCTGTCTGGGCTTCAAAGGACACCCTGAGGATCAAAGCCCAACCCTTACCACGAGTTTCGCACAGTCCAAGCGGTTCATGTAGCTCTGACAGCGGCAGCAGCGGGAATATCCAGTCTCCAGCATATTGAGGGTGTCACCCTGGCGACTAAGGTGGGAGTGGCCAGACTGCGGCAGGTTCCAAGGGCCGTACACCACGTGCTGACGTGTAGGAAGGCAGATCTGGTCCAGGTTGTCAGGGCAAGGCCGCCCAGGGGGGAAGCCATCCAGATGGTGGCCCCAGCCCCCTCGGGGTCGGCCCTGCGGGCATTGCTGGGCCGAATTCGAGGACTCAGGCTCTGGGGAAACGTGGCGCGTGGAGGAAGCTGGCTTTTCTAGAATGGGGAAGACAGCAGGGAACATGTGGAGGGATGGAGAGAGGCTGGATGAGTTGGGAGGACTGGCAACTTGGGGTTGAGGGGAGAGAGTTGGGAGGAGACGGGGAGAAGAAGAAATGAATTTGAGGCTCTCACCTTCGGATTGAGGGGCTGAAAGGAAAAGAGACCTGAGTCATGAAAGGTGTCACCCTTAGAGACCCCCCAAATCAAGACTGCTCCCTCCACTGCTTCCCAAGGCTCGGGCTCCCCGCCCCACTCCCCGGGGTCCTGAGCACTAAAGCAGGGGACAGACAGATCACAGCTGTCACTTACCCTCTTGCTGCTTATGTGGGAAGGTCTCCTTCTGAAGTGGCAAGGGGGAGTCTACTGGGTAGAAAAGTTATTTGAGTAAAAATCATGTTGGCATGGGCCTCTAGGTGAGGGAGGACCTGGCCAGTTCCCATGCATAAAAAGGAACTTGACCCAGAAGCAAGTGAAAATAAATGCTATTTTTATGCCATTTAATCTCATAACTTTATAAAAATAAGTATTATTCCCCCAAACCAAGGCTTGGGGAGGTAACTTACCCAAGGTTACACAGCTAGTGAGTGGCAGAGCCCCAAAGCCACAGGCAGGCGAGCGAAGAGGGAGTCACTTACGTTCCTTCTGTTCGATAGGGAGCTGGGAAGCGGGCATCTCTTTCTGAAGGGGTATCTCTTTCTGAAGGGGTATCTCTTTCTGGAGGGGTATGCCTTTCTGGAGGGGGATGGCTTCCGGGGGGTGCAGGTGATCCTGTGCATGGCTTCCTGAAGCAGAGGGGGACCCTGAGGGTGAGGGCGGTAAGGAGCAAGGTTTGCACTGAAGGCAGCAAGACCTCAGTGGGCCAGAGGCCAGGCAATGGGCAAGCACCCACCTTCCTTTTTCACAGAGAGTTGGGGAGGGGGCAGCTCTTCCTCCTGGACAGGGCCGGCTTCCTGCGAGGGAGGGGGCTGCACTACAGAACAGGGGAGCCAGTGAGTATGTCTCTGCCCCCACCTGCCAGGGGCGGGGCGAGGCTTCTTTCCCCTCCCAGGCTGCAGAGGGGAGTGGGGGGCGGGTGCTGGGTAGGCTTACCTTCACTCTGTGCCTCAAATTGAGGGCCATGCTGAGGGGTGTCAGGGTGATCCACAGGGAGGGCTCGGGTCCGGGGTGGGGATGGGGGTGCGGCATAGCCCACTAGAGGCAAGAGGGGAGATGGTCAGAGCCTATAGTTCCTCCCTGGGCCCTGGTCCCAGCCAGTCCCTCAAACTCTTACCTTCTTGAAGGTACTCTGGCCCCAGCTCCCTCTGCCCTGAAGCCTTGGAGGCTGGAGTGAGGAAGGACAAGTCAGGGGTGGTTTTGAGGGGCCCTTCCTGGCCCCCAGCGTGGGGTGAGGAGGCAGTAGAAGTCAAGAGTGCAGGAAAGACAACCAAGACACCAGAAGCCCCTCCGTGTTGCTCCTGTCCCACATCCGCCCCCAACACACCTCGCTGCGAACCGCTGGTTCTGAGAAAGGCTGCGACAGATGCCCTAACAGCCTCACCTTGCCGGGCTCAAAGCCATGGGGCCCCCAGGTCTGGACCTGAAGGGAATGTGAGGATGGGGGGCTTGTGGTGGGGTGGCGGAGGCCCTAATCTCTGTCAGCATCTTTCCCCCAGGGCTTCTGGGCTCTCCTGCCCGAGGCCTCTCTGCCATGATGCTTCCCTGGATCTCAGAGGAAAAAGTCCCCCCCTTAAACTGGTTGGAGCCTAACCTATCCACTTCTGTCCCCACCCTCCTGCTGTAGCCCCTGTAAACACCTTCAGCCCTCTCCTTAGGAGCCCACCCAGGAGCCGAAGTGCTTCCCCTTTAGCTAGTCCCAGACTCCCCTTAGGTTGGGGCTCAGTTTAGGGGCGGATGAATCAGGGCCATGGCAAACCATCCCGCAGTCACGGGGAAAGGAACGGCAGTCACAGGAGAGGACCCAGGAGCGACAATGAGGCGGAGCCTCACAGAGATACAGGCTAGATCTGTGATGCTCTGAACGGTTTCCCTCAAAAGCGTTTTCGCTCAGCGTCCAAGCAGATAACGTGCGTGCTGGGCAGAGCGCGGCTGTATCTGGTCCCCTGGGGATGGACACCCTCTCAACTCCTCTCCTAACCAGGCAGCGAGTCAGTCAAGACCCTCTGGTTGTGAGCAGCCTGGGGGCCCCTTCTTCCTCTGCCCTCCCTAGTAGGTCCCCGATCCATCCCCCTCAGAGGATGGTTACGCTGTGAACCCGCCTCCCCCCAACCCCCAGGAATTGTCCTTTGACACCAATTTTGTGCTTCTTGGCAGTAATCTCTAGGGACCATCTCTAGCAGCAGCAAACCGGCCACTTCCCTGAGCTCCTGGCTCGCCGTCCCGGAGCCCAGGCTCACCTTGGGCCTGCCCAGAAACAGGAAGCCAAATGGAGACTCACCCTATTGGTGTTGAGCCACCTCGGAGGACTGGACTCAGGCCCCAGGCCCATGCTGGCCAGACCCCTTCCCAAGTGCCAACTCCAATCCCAGCTCACCTTCCTCGGAGGCTACAGAAGCAACAGCCAAACAGGCCAAGACCAAGGCTGCTCTGGGCATGGTCCCCATCTCGGGGCAAGGACCGGTCGGCGGCCACCCAGGAGGTGGGTCCCTGCGGGCAGATCGAGATTGGAAGGGCTGGGCTGTTGGGAGCCTGCTTCTCTGGTTGCTGTCAGTGCTGTTGTGAACTCCAGGGCCGGTTCCTTCCCCTTTTTATATGGCCGGGCGCCACCAGCTCCCGCCCCCCTCAGCTTCCTGCCTGACTCAGTCCAGCCACTCCTCCCCAACTCAGCCCGAAGCCTCCCGACAGGATTGAGAGGAATGGGGGTAATGAGAGGTGAGCATTCTTCCAACCCCAAGAAAGACCGATTCTGAGAATCAGGGAGCAAGAGGTGTTTGAGAGCTTATTTTGTGCCTCAGTTTCTCCACTTGCATGTGGAGAAGGGGTCTGGGAGTCTGCTGGGCTGGGGCTGGGACACAGGGCACTAAGGAGCCGAGAGTGGGGACCCAGGGGTCCTCAGCCAGTGAGAGGCCCGAGCCGCCCCTTTTCAGTTTCCCCAGCACCCTGGGGTGAGAGAGGGAGACAGGGTCAGACCCCCTTCCATCCCGCGCCAGGAGTCAGGGATGAAGACGTGTCTCCAGTAGCTTCAAGCTTTTTATTTTTCGCTTCGCTCTCCTCACACCCAAACAGCTACAGCTTCCCGCAGACCAAGTCTCTTTCCAGGAGGGCAGATGCGTGTCCCACACGAGTCCTCAGGGGTCTGAGGACTCTGGACTCTGTCAGTTGGGTTGGTCCCTCCTGTGTTGAGGGAGGCTGGTGGCTCCTGCAGGTCTCTGTGACATCGACATCCGAAAGCTCAGAAAATTTCTTCCGCGTTTGGGGTCCTGGCGCTCTGCAGCTCCAGGAGCCGCCGCACGGCCTCCGGCAGGTCCCGCTCTCCCAGGCGACGGTTGTCTCGCGTCCGGATGTTCACGGTGCCCTTGCTCTGCTCTCTCGGGCCAACCACTGCAGGAAGGGGGGCGGTCTGGGAATCTCAGGGCAAGTTTATCCACATGGGGTACCTCCCTCTGCTCTGCGGAAACCGAAGAGGCCTCGCTCGCTAGGAAGGGCGAGGGCAGGGCCCAGACACAGCTCAGGGAAGGATATATTTAGCCATGTCCTGCCCTCCGGTTCCCAGCTCATCCTGAGGAGATAGGAGATGCTCCGGGGTTTCTCCTACAGGCCTTATCGCTTCCAGTCAGGAGCCCAGGGGTCAGAGGCGGTAGGGTGGGGCAGAAGCAGAGCCAGAGAGGAGCTGTGTGTGGGGGGACATTAGAGAAAGCGGAGGTGGCGGGTGGAAGGCACGGGACCGTGGGGCAGCCTGCTCTCCGTGCTGACAGCACGCGTGGGTGTGTGACACTCAAGAATCGGGTAACCTGGCCGAGGAATTTCTGCTCCCTGCTTTCCAGACGGAGCTCTGAACCCGGGAACGTGAAAAGGGAACAGGTTAGGGCCAGACTGTTCTCCTCAGGCCTTTCTCCTCACCCCGCAGCGCTGACTCCTCCAGGTACAGGATAAACAGCGAACTAATTAACGCCTATTAACCCTTCCTGCCGCTTTCTCTCTGACGCTCCTGGTTAAGCAACTTAACAGATGCCAAGAACTATGGTTAGGGCCAGGAGACTGTTCTGACGGTCAGAGGTGCTCTCGGGGAGCAGAGAGACCCGGGGCCCGGTGGCTCAGGCGTCCTGAGTCCTGGCTCCTATCCAGCTCAGGAATCGAGCCCCAAGTAACCCCAACATGCAGATGAGCAAACTGAAGGACAGGAAAGAACAGGACCGAAGGCGGGCGCGTGACCCGGTCGCTTACCAAACTGAAAATTGTAGTTGGCGAGCTGAGCCCGGCGGACTCTCCGGCTGAGGGTCAGTCCGCAGTCAGCGTCCAGGTCGCCGACCAGCCCCGCAGCCTGCAGGCTCTGCTGTGCCTGGGACAGAGGTTTGGTGACAGGAACTTAATCTGATGGGAGGCTGGAGAGCTAGGACGGTCTGATACCAGGCTTCTCCAAGCCCCCCATCTGTCCCTCCTGCCTCGACCTCCAGGCTCCCCAGTTCTCACAGACGAGCCCTCCTCCTCCCCAGCCCCACAGCTTCTCTGCCGCCTCTGGAGCCGAGCCTGCCAGCAAGTCCCTGGACTCTGCCTGCTTCCAGCCTCCACTCTACCCACCCAGCCGCTCGACCCTGGCGCCATCCATACCCTTACCTCTCTCTAGAAAAGAAAAATAAAACCGACATTTATCCAAGGCCCCTTTCATGCCAAGTGCTCTGTTGTCAGCATTTTCCACAAGGCAGTCTCATTTCTCAGATACTGACTTTCTAGCATCCGGACCGGCAGCCATTCCGGCCCAGTCCTGTGGCTCCAAGTGCTGTGGCCCCTTCCTCCCCCGAGGGGCCTCTTCCCGTCCACTGCTCCCTTTGGGTCCCTGTTAGTCTCGCTTTGGCCCTGTCTTGACCCCCAGCTCCTCACCTCCCTGGCATATTCCTCCTGCTCGGTCCCCACAGGGATGACCACCACCTGGAACGGGGACAGCCACAGCGGCCTGGTTGGGAGAGAACAGGAGGGCCCATCGTTTACTCTGGCTCTGACTGTAAGTGTGGCGACAGGGCGCAGATTCGAGAAGGAAACGGTAGCGGGAGTCTGAAGGGGGCCGCGATCTGGAGCGTCCAGAGGGCCAGGACGGACGCCTGGCACCAGCGGTCTCACCATTTCCCCCCGCAGCTCTCGGCCAGCACTGCCAGCATCCTTTCCACGGAGCCCAGAACTGCCCGATGAATGAGGACTGGACGCTCCAGGGCCCCCGCCTGGCTTCGAGGGAGAAAAGGGGGTGGATGGAACAAAGGAAGTGGCACAAATTGTGTAACCAAGGTCACCTGCCAGTTTTCAGAAACATTCGGGCCCCACACGGGAGGCTGTTGGGGGCTCAGTTGTTTTTAGGGTCAAAGGCAGAAGGAGAAGTCGTTCCTGCCGTGTCCACGGGTGGCCCCGGGAAAAGGTTTTTAGGGTCAAAGGCAGAAGGAGAAGTCGTTCCCACCGCGTCCACGGACAGCAGGGTCTGTACCCCTTGTACTGGAGGTCAAATCTCAGGGGCAGCTGGAAGTCAAGCTGGATTGTCCCGCACTGGTGGGGCCGACCCAGGGCATCCTGGAGGTACACGTCGATCTAGGGGTACAAATGTGAGGGCGTGTGACAAACGAGAACCAGTGTCCTCCATTATCCGTGCCCCCCTTTACCTAGCTATGTCCCAGACTGTCCTGACACACCTGTCGCCCAGCTGATCACACTACTTCCCTCGGTGGGGACTCCAGCAGTGACTCTCAGTGGCTCGTTCCACTTAATAATGGTACTAGGATATGGGGGCACGTCAATTCCTGGAGGCCCTCTCAGACCTTCACCCACACCCACCCTACGGCTCCACCCTTCACCCTGTCACCGTCCAGAATGGCTGCACCTCTGGACAGACCACCGGACACCCTGCTCTGGTCGCCACCTCTTGGTTTTCCAGCGATGACGCGTAATCCAGGTCCAGGCTCCTCAGCTCCTCCACGTCCTCCCCACCCGCTGCCCCCTCTCCCCGTGGGGCTGGAACCGCCCTCCCTGGCCCCTGCCCCCGGACGGTCCTTTCTCCCACCTCATGGAGAATTCAGACAATTAACATCACGGGACGGGGCAGTGTCTCAACTTTGATCACCACACCCATAAACTCCCTTGCATTTCTATCCCCAGCCTTTCCTTCTGACCCTCAAACAATGGCAAAGGTGGTCCCCTCTGTGGGGGGCTCTCAACCCCACCCTTCAAGCCTCCCCGAGAACTTCCCTCCACTGAAGCCATCTCAACTCCGGCTTCTCCCTGACCCAGCCGGGCACCCTCCAGGCACAGGGTTTCAGGTTCTCGAGTCTCTCTCGCCACAAACTTCTCCTTCGACCACCCGGCCCTGAGCTGCTCTGAGAGCCACAGAGCTTGAGAGTTACGTTCATTCCTCACTTCCGACTCCACCCACAGTCTCCACTTTACCAAAAACGGTCCTTCAAAACCTAACAGCCTTTTTACTAAATCCGGCAGATACTTCTCTGTCCTTTTTCCCCCGATCTCACTTCTTCTAACTCGCCATGTGACTTTCCACCCTCCCCCTGGCCTCTGCCGACACTGTTCCCTTTACTTGGCCGACAGCTGCCTTCGGGGTCAGAGAGGGTCCTGCGTGCAGCCCTGCGGGACCCTCCCATGCTCCATCCGCAGCTTCCGCACTGCCCCGCGGTGCTGAAATGCCCCATCTGCCTCCCGCAGCCCCCAGCAGACCGGCGGGCGCCATATTGCTCTGCTTTATATCCTACGTGAGTTTAAAAATATTCCTTTGTCTCAATTAAATATTTAACAAAACGAAACAAAAAAATGAATAAACAAAACTCTATGCAAAGTCCCCAGCTTACCTTAGGCCCATAGAAGGCACCATCCCCAGGGCTGAGGTCCCAGGGTTCTCCGAATTCCTCCAGGGCCCGTTGAAGGACCTTTGGGAAGTGAGACAAGGGAGGACTTTATGAGCACCGTATCTCTCCGGTCCCCAACAAGTGACCCTCTCCTCATAGCCTCTACTAAGGACCCGGACTCCGCCCCCTGCCCCCTCCCCCGGAGTGGTTTATCCGGCTCTGCTTCCTCGGCCTCCCTGCCACAGGCCCACCTGCTCAGCCTGGTCCCAAAGACGTGGCTCTCCCAGGAAGCCAGTCGGTCGGGTGGACAGTGCCAGGCGGAAGGAGAAGCCGAGGACAGCGTAGACTGAGCGCAGGAAATCGAGACAGCCTCGGATCTCTGCGTCCAACTAGGGGCAGGAAACACGGTGCGTGAGTGGTGTACCAGCTGGGTTCTGGGGTGACGGCGGTTTGGGGGAGACAGAGGGCGAAACTGGAGGAAAGCTGGGCATAGCACGCGGCTGAACTGCAGCGCATAACGGGGACAGCTAAGGGTCAGGAACGTCGGCGGTTCGCAGGGAGGGCGGCTAGAAACGCCTCGGTGGAGTTGGGGGAGGCCACCTGATCCGGGGCACAGAAAATGTGGGCGTCGTCCTGCTGGAAGCACCGCAGCCGGGTCAGTCCCCCGAGACTGCCGGAGGCCTCGGCCCTGTGCAGGGCCCCGAAGTCCGCCAGTCGCAGGGGCAGCTCTCGCCAGGATCGGGGCCGGTGGGCGAACATCAGGCTGAGGGCGGGGTGGGGAGGGGTCAGCACCGCAGGGCAGACTGGCCCTGAAGCCTGCTCTGCCCCATCTGCCCGTTCCTGTCCCTCCCTCGGAGTCCTGTCACCCCCCCCTCGTCCCAGCCGGAGCCCTGCCTGGCTCAAAGGGGAATTTCTCTGTAAGGACAATAACAGATGACAAGAACAGAACTGTGCCCTGTTCTGTGAGCAAGTCCAAGCCCCTGATGCTCCACACACAGAGGCTGAGGCTGTGAGAGCGCCCTCATTTCCCCAAATTCCCACGGTCAGCGACAGGGCAGACTCGAGACTCAGATGAGGTGTCCCAGCTCCGTCTATTGCTTCACGATTTGCGATCGTGTCACCGGGCCGGCCCTGGGAGGACGCAGGCCTCCTGGCCCCAGCTCACCAGTGCGCGGGGCAGTTCATGGGCTTGAGGGCGAGGGTGTCTGTGGGGTGGCCGGAGCAGTGGTCCCCCTGGGAGCTGGCAGGCCTGTTGGAGCCTGGAGACTGCAGGGCAAACATGTCTTCCTGATAGTGCTCCCAGTGCCCTGACAGCTCCCAGAGCTTTGTGGAAAACAGCGTGGGGGTCTTCACTTCTGAGAAACCACGGCGGGTGTACTCGGCCTGGGAAGGAGGGTACAGGAAGGAAGGCCACAGTGAGCACGGGGAGAGAAGGGAGGGTGGCAGCCTCGGGGCCCCCAGGTCGTGATGATCACAGCCATGAACCACTAGGTACCGCGCTAGCTCCGTACGTGCCCCCGCTGCAGAGCACACATTTCTGGGGTCTTTGTAAGAACCGCCAGCATTTACAGTAAGTACGTGTAAGCCTCCTCTCCCCCTTAACGCCTGGCTGCTTCGGGGCCCTCAGCCCCACCCCCGTCTTCCTTCCCTCGGACCCGGGTCCCCTCACCCTGATGAGAGACACCAGCGCGTTATACACCCTTGTCCCCCGAGGCAGGAAGAAGCAGCTCCCAGGACTCAGTTCATGGAAGAAGAAGAGCTCCTGTTCCTGGGGTCAGGGATGGCAGCGGTCACTTCAGGGGGACGCGGTGGCTTTGGGACCCGGAAGGAGTAAGTCTGCTGGATTCTGAGTCTGCGCCCTGCTCCACAATTGGGGCCCTTCATCACTCCAACCTCCATGACCGTCCCCCACGTCCCCGATCTCTACCTTCCCAAGGCGCCGGTGGTCCCGTAACTCTGCCTCCTCCCTCTGTTCTTCCCAGGCCCTCAGCTGCTCCGCCGTGGGGAAGGCGATCCCTGACACTCTCTGCAGTGTCTCCGGGCCACCTGAAGACCTCCCTAAGGACGAAGAGTTCTGCAGGAGGACACAGGGAGTCCGGGGGAAGGCGGTGAGGACTGAGGCTGTCCGGCCTCTCCTGCAAACCTCTCTCGATGTATGTGCCACAGGTGTGCACTACTCCCCGCCATCACCACCGGTGGGACGGGCCTCCAGACCCCCGCGCCACGCTTACAGCCTTGGAGGTGGCCGGCTCTTGATTCCTGCACGTGTCCTGCTCAAGCCTAACCTCAGCCTGCCGCCTCCTCTCCTCATTCTCACGACCGCCGCCCTGCCAGCACCCCGTACTTCACGCCTTCCCCGTCCCATCGGGCACTGCTCAGGGGAACAACCGGAAGCTCTGGTCAAATGTCACTCTATCTGTATCACACCATTTCCTGTTCCTGGCCCCAGGAGATCAAATGCCTGTTTGTTTTTTCCTTGAACAACAGTACTAATGAGAAACAGCCTGTATCTCATAGCATTTTTAACTTTTCCTCAAACACTTTCTCCTGCGTTAGCTGGTTCTGTTTCTCCACGTAGATTTACTCGTAAGACAGGAATTCACAGGCTCATTTCACAGATAGGGGAGATGGGTAAGAACATTTACCCAAAGCCACACACTTCACTGGTGGCAGAGCCAGGGCGAAGCACAGACAGCTAGGTTTTCAGTCCGGAGCGTTCTGCTCTACGTACCTGCCCCCGCTCGGCAATCTGCTCCTGTTCCATCCAATAACTCACCCTGCCCAAGAACAGCCTTTTCATAAAAGGCATGCCCTTGACTCACCCTCCCTGCGCCTGTCAAAGGCGCTCCACCGCCCCCACTCACAGCAGCCTTCCCCCTCCTTCAGCACTGATGTCCAACCATGAAATGTGAACTGGCTCTTGGGCCCTGGCAGGGGGTCTAGCATCTGCCGTCAAACTCGAGGTTTCTAGAAGGCAGGAACTAAGAATCGTTCTCCTGGATTCCCCACTCGGCTATCAGAGTAGAGAAGGGGCTGAGAGGCCATCGTCTTCCCAGGCCCCTGCTCACTCCAGCGAAATGAGAAGTCTCAGCCTGACCCTGTCCTGACGACTGACCGTCAGCAGCTTCAGCCCTCCAATCTGTCCGGTGTGCCGAAGGTGGGGGCCCCGGCAGAGATCAACCAACGTGCCGCACCTGGGGGAAAGAAGGGGCCCGTTAGTGGCTTCCAAATGCTTGAGCTTCTAGTCTTCTCTCTCATGGCCTTTAGCTGACAGAAAGAGTGAAGAACTGTTCACGGAGACAGCAACGGGAGACGAGAGTCGATTCCTGTCCCTGTTTCTCTCTCCAGGGCAACAGATTCTTCCCGCATCCCGTCTTCTTCCCTCATCCCGTTTCCAGCCTTGGTCGGTGCACCTCGCCCCTCCCCGTTTCCCTCCATCTGGACAACTCACCCGTACACTGTTGCTGTTGGACCTGTCACTTTTTCCTCAATCAGGCGAAGCTTAAAGGGGTTATCCTGGAAGAAGGGAAGAGTGAAGACGAGTCTTTATCCCCACGAAGACGTCCTGGGAGAGAGCCACCCCTTCCCTCACGCCTGTGCATCTCCAGCCCACCTTGAAGAGCTGGCGAAGCTGATCCTGGGAAGCTTCCAGCCTCCGGAAGGGCAGAGCAGCAGCTGCGAGTTCTTGGCAAACGCGCTCCAAAACAGGCAGCTCTGAGCCCCGGACACTCCTGGGAGAATGAGAGTCGGTCTGCCTGCATCTTTAAGAAGCATCACCTGGGAGACACAGCTGTTGGCCAGGGGTAAAATCCTGCCCTCCAGAACGTCTGGAATTATTGGTCAAGACAGACAAACTAAGAGGCAACATAAATAGGAACTCAGGTACAAATTTTACAGCTGGAGCAAATGCTCTATGTACGAAATTAAAAGTTCAGGGCAAGCAATCCAGATGGACGAAATTAAAGTAATGAAGGATGGAGTAAAGTTGAAGAATTCCTAAGGGCTAGAGAAGATAAGTTTCAAGCAGCATTAGAAGAGAAAGAACGTGGACTAATGGAGAAGGTGGTATCAAGATCACAGTTGAGGCCCGGAGGTCTTTCCCGTAGCTCGTTCCTCCAAAACGAGCATGCGTGAGGCCCCAGAAAAGGGCCTCAGCAACCATCCCAGTAAAAGGGGACAAACTTGCAGTTATCAGATGAATAAAGTCTGAAGAGCTAATGTACAGCATGGTGACTATAGCTGATAATTCTGCATTCTATAACTGAAATTTGCCAATAGTAAATCTTAAGTGTTCTCACCAAAAAAAAAAAGTGAGGTGATGGATGTTAACTAACTCGACGTGGGAATCCTTTCACATTGTACGCTGAGTACTGAATTATCGCACTGTACACTTTAAAAATATTAAAATTTTATTTGTCAAGTATACCTCAAAAAACCTGAAATAAAAAAATATTTTAAAATAATACTCTCTAAAAAAAGAAACAACCCCATCATCATTCTCTTCTTCCTCGCGCTACTCACCGGTCCTTCCCCAGGAAGAAATCATGGTAGAAGCCACTTTCTGTGCTTGGACCGCGGCAGAGGATGGCACCTAGGAGCTGTTCAGCTGCTGCCCCCAGGACGTGGGTGCTGGAGTGCCAGAACACCTGCATTTACGAGAAAGGAGCTCACGCGTTCACAACCATCCCCTTTAACCCCTAGCTCTTTGATCTTCTCCTCCAAGAAGCTGGTGTGAAACCAGTATGATCCTTCTAGGAATAAGTACCACAAAATGGAGGTGGTGACCACTACATGGTGAAAAGGAAAAAAGAAAAACTGAGCAAAAGAGAAAGCAGAAGGCAGGAGCAGCAGTGCAGGAGGACCAGGGGCCAGCCTTCCTCTGCTTTCCCATGACGTCTCCTTTTAGGTCTTCGGAGTGAACGACTTCCTTAAGACTGATTTTTAAGGGCTCTGCTCAACTCTATCTTTTTTTCTATCCTGGCAATCTAGTGTGACGTAACCACTGCTCTAGTATTTTGTCACCATTTACACACAGGGGACATGAGAACTCCATTTTTTTGGATCCTAATAGATGAGGTCTACACTACATGAAGAGGACAAAGTGGGGAGGGGCCAGACTGTATGCTCGGTTGTGAAAAACACATTAGGATTAGATATATGCTACAGATGATTTAATAGGTGTCTCAAGAGTTGCGGGGGGTGGGGTGCTGAATTGGCATATAATCCCTTCTGTTTTCAAATTATTCTCTCTCCCTTTTACTAGTACAAGTAACGCCTGCTTAATAGACCTAGGCTAAGTAAAAACTCTCATCATAAATATCCGGCTTAGCCAGGAATAGTCAAGACAAGCCATCTGTGGTAGGTCTCCCTCCCAAATGCAAATGGAGAAACGGAGGGGAAAAAAGATGTTAGAAATGCCCACTTAAATATCTCTTAGTTTAGGAGCCACTGCATTTCCAATAAGAAACTTACTGCTTTCCCCTCTGTGGAATCGAAGGTCAGAAATCTGAGGTCAGAATCTGTCTCCAAGGGCCGCTCCAGATCATAAGGTTCTCCATTCACTTGAGCAGCCACTGCAGTATCTGCCAGTGTTGAACTTTAGCAGTAGGGAGCCGGGATTTAAAAAAAACAAAAAAAGACAAGGTTACAGACCACAGGGGAAAAGAACCTGCAAAGGGGAAATGTGTTGCCAGAGCAATAGAGCCCATCATCATTTTCCTCTGATAGATAACAGAGGAAGGGCAGAGGCTCTGAAACTAATTAAGATAAAAATGAATCCTCGGGAAAAGCTATCCTGATGAAACGGAGCAGAAACAAGCGGTTTTCTTTCCCTGCTCTGGTCCAGAGGAAGTACAGGGGTAGAAGGATAACACGGGAGGGTAGCGAATGAGCCTGATACCTGATCTGCCGAGCTAGCTGGTAAGGGGTTGTGTTCCATGCCACAGCCTCCACTTTCTGGCCTCCGGGAAGTGATATCTTAATAGTCCGGTGTTCCTTCTGTGCCACGCTTGCTAACCTCTTTGCCTGAGCAGCCCATAGCTCCTCAAAAAGGCCAAGTCGCTCTACCAACCAGTGTGGAGGGGTCGGCACAGCTGCCTGAAGGGAAAGATGTTAGGAGGTGACACATGTTCCATCAGTTATTCCTGGGGTTAGGGGTGGTGGGAGATGACGATATTTGAATGGCCGTAAAGTCCCTAGGCTTTACGAAGATGGGTGAGACGCAGCCCTGCGTTGGAAGTCTTACGCTCCCCGGGCAGCAGACCGGAGGAGAAAGTGCATCCAGGCGGTAGGTCGGGGGGTAGCAGGGTCCGGGGACTCGGGGCGACAGCAGGGGCTGTCAGGCTGGGTTAAGAGCCTACACCTTCGGCTTCCGCTGCTTCGGAACGTTTGGGTACCTCACGCACCGTGTGTAGCCCGCAGGCTTGTAACCCTGGGAGCTGGAACCGTCGCCACCTCTGATACAGTCCCATGTTCCTCCAGACCGGTGCCTACATGCTCAAATGACCGTCTCCTCCTTCACCAGATTCCTCATTGGCTTCTGGCCTAACAATCCCCATGCCTATTGGCTAATACAGCTGCCATTCCGGCCTGGCACCACCTCCAGGAACTCCGAAGAAGCACACCCCACACAGCAAGAGCGGTGTGGGTGGTTCCGGCTGACCGGAAGACCTAAACTGTTACACCGGCAATCGCGAGACCCGCAGTTTCAGGCCAAAGCTGGAATGAGGTGTCCTGCGGCTTTGAGCGCAGGGCAGGGGTCGGAAAACTTCTAGAGAGAGAGAATGGGAGAAAAACGGACCGAGAAGGAAATCAGTCATTTCCTTTTAACCATAAGTTTTCTTTTACATAGTCTTTGCTGGCAAGTAGAAAACATTTAAGAGCATAGATTTGGAACTGGACAGACGGGGTGTAAATCCTGGATCTGCCTGCCATTCACTGTGCAATTCGGGGTAAACGATGTAATTCCGTCTATGCTTCAATTTTCTCATCTATGAAATGAGAATAATAGTATCACTCCCAATTGTTGAAGTTAATTTTTATGTAAATAGTCTAATATACGGCGTGGTACAAGATAATGGGCAACAATAGCGACAAGCTATTAGAATAAAGGAATGTAACAGCTTTAAGGTCTTGGACAAAGAATCTGCAGAGGGCACTTCTTGGAGTCTCTTCGTACTCATGGTGCTTAAAAGGGACCTAAGAGACTTCTAAATCTTACAGATGAGGAATTTAAGGTCAGAGAAGGTAAACGATCTAAGGTTAGTTAAGTGCTGATGCCAGAATCAGTCCAGCTCTCGTATTCTTCTACCACACCAGGCGTTTGCTCGTAATAGAGTTACTCCCAATATGCTCTCCCATCACTCACCCTAGAATCTGAGCTCTGCCTCTTATGCAAGACCTTTGCCTCTCATTCCCATTTTAACTCAACTTCCTTTATTCTTTCTCTTCCCTCTCCCCGCTATATCTAGGACACAGGACCGGGTATATTTATTTTACACCATAAAAATAGAAACATGGTCAGGTTTGCAGCAAAGTAGGAAGGGAGATGGACTTGGGGCAGCTGAGGGGTTCTCAGTAATTCCCGTTAGTCCCCTCACCTGGGGGTGGGGATGGTTAGAGTCGGTTCTTGAGTTTCCAGTGGCGATGGAAGCAAAGATAGTAGAGGAAGTGTCTGCTGTCAGAGAATGCTGCTTAATCGAGGTTTCCAGAGGCCAGAGGTTCTGTCTGGGGAAGGCAGCAGTCGGTCTGAGTCACAGGACAGCTCGGGATCTTGGTTTCCATCTTCTGGTATGTTAGACACTCTGAAATACAAAAAGAAATAGACAAGACTGTGGAAGAGGAAGATTACATGTGTGTGTGCGGTTGGGAAAAGGTAGTGAAAAATTGTAAGTGGCATTCAGAAAGTGTGGCAACAGGCAGAACTTTTCCCATGGCTCTGCACCAAAAGGGACAGGGGAGTATTACAACAAAATGGTAGGTGCTCGGTCAATAATTATTAAGAATGTACTGATCACTGTACTGACTGGAAACTCCAAATTATACATATACCGACGCGCACGCACACACACACGCACACACACATGCACTCTTTGCTCATTCTACCTTGTCCTCTTGCATACAGATGGGAGGGGGTGGTGGAATAACTAAGCTCCACTGTTATGGCGGCTCCCTGCACTCATCCCCAAAACATTTACTGACTGCTCTCTGTGTGCAAAGCCCTGAGCTGAGTGGTCAGGGGATGCCGATCAATCACGTACTACATCATCACCTGTGTGACCTGTGTCGCAGTGGAGGAAGGAATGTCAAGGGATTTCATTCCTCCCGCCATAGCAAGCAAGCCAGCAAAGCACGCTAGCTAAGGCCAATTCATTAATAGCCAGTTCTACCACCTCTGATTTGTGCTTAGCATGTCTCAGCCTCAGGGAATGTTAACCCTTTAGTCTGCCTGGGGAACGTCGATCCCTAAGACTGCTCTTAACCTTCCACTGAGATCACCAAACACCTACTATGTGCTAAGTGCTGTGCCTTCACTATCTCGTTTAATTTCTAGAATAACCCCAACAAATAGTAACTCTCTGTTCCCTATAAAACATGGAAAATGACCCCCCGAGAAGCCCCAGTCTATCTGAATCCAAAGCCTGTACTATGCCATGCTCTGCTGCCTCTCAGACACCAGGATAGTCGGAATGTATCACGTTCGGGAGCACGGCTCCCCCTTTGTCTCCAGGTGAACTAGTTGGAGCCTTTGGGGACAAAAAGGCTCTTAATGTAGGGTAGTGAGAGGGGTCCAATAAAAAGCCAAGAAAAGAGGCATCTTACCAAACTTTCTCTACCAGACTGAGAAAGAAACGTTAAGGAAATAATGCCAGAGTTCAGGAAGCCTCAGGAAAAGGGAAGTCCTCATAAAGGGTGTCCAAGGCCCTCGGTCAAGTTCTGGGAAAGGCTCAGCTTTACTCCACGTTTAGAACAGACATCCTAAGTTAGCCAAAACTTCAGCTGAGGTGGTATTGTTTTTATAATCTCAAAACACATGTAAGAATAATCTCCACTGAAGGTAAAGTACATTTTCCATTTGTCATCAGATCAACACAAATTTCCAAATCTCTCTTAGCGCTGAGAAAATTTCCAGGCACCAAAGTGGTAGAAAAAGAT